CCCCCTCATACACTGATAGGTTGAGCTCCCCTTCTGCGAAGGTGGAGTCTAGGACCCTATAAAGGAGTAACGACACAAGACATGGGGCTCTTTTTCCGGGTCTGTGAACGTGTCACAGACTGTAGAGTCCACTACTGTAAAATTGTAATCTTTTCCTGCCTTTTCTAATATAATTGATAAAACTTAATTGACGTTTCCTTGATTTATTGATTAGTATAGTTGCCACTTCTGAGGGAGGTTCGAACTGGGGGTAAAGACATGGGCTGGAGGGGGTTTCTGGATCCGGTGGTCCGCAGCCAGCTCTCGTCTTTAACACTAATGCTGATCACAGTTTTTCTAAACATCAAATCAGCAGCTCCTGGCTGATACTGAACCTCCGTTGGGCATGGTTGGAGAGGGCTAATGATTTGGGCTTGTTTTTGTTTAATAAATAATGACAGTGGACAGTGGTGGGTATTCTGAAATCAAGTTAAATCAATTTAGAACTTAGTAAATACCGGATCAGGATTACATATTATGTCCTGAAATTCATTAAATGGAAAAGGACGGACTTTATTTTTCCCAGGATTGGAGGATTTTTATCACCTGTTTGGGGGTAAGAGGTCACATGATCATATCAGGTAAATGACTGTTAAAGGGTCAATCTATTCTACACCTAAACTCAGATAGAAAGTCTCACCAATGGCAGGCGCGTTGATGCAGAGCTCCCTCGCCAGCAATAGGAATGTTTTTCCCAGAATGTAAACGTTCACCTAGAAAAAGAAAACAAACTGGATGAGTCAGAGGTCAAAGGTTAAGAGCTGGTCTAGGATCAGTCGTTGGGTGGTAGTCAGAGGTCAGAAGTCAGGAGGTGGTCAGGGGTCAGAGATTAAGGGTTAAAAGCTGGTCTTGGGTCAAGGATTGGAAGATAGTCAGAGGTAGGTCAGGAGGCAGCCAGGATCTAGTTTGAGGGCAGGATTCAGGAGATGTTCAGGTATCAGAAGGTGGTCTGGGGTCAAGAGACAAAACAAGATGGCAGCACATAGCAATGCAGCTGCTCAGTGCTTTCCTGGACATTGTTATTTTGTTCTTTGGATTACAATGTGTGGCTGTATCACCGTGGTGTTACCCCTGCGGGAAGGTGAAGGAGGCAGCGCAGAGAGAGAAAACAGAAGAGTGGCTGGATGGCCAGCTTGCTTGTAAAATTAAGGAGGCAGCCACATAAACCACCGCTTCCCAGTCTTTTTCTTGCAAACGCAAGATCCCTCGCCAATAAAATGGGTGAACTGTGACTACATCTAGCAACAAATAATATAGTGAGAGATGTCTGTATTCTGATGATAGCAGAAATCTGGCTCCATCCACTCATTGCAGACTCTGCTATCAAGATTGCAAATGTACAGTGACATATTGTTTTTATGCTATTAGTGCTTAGCATATTTTTAGTTTACTTTTTTCTTAGTTCATATCTTAGATCTTATTACTGTTTTTATTTTACATTTTATTGTTGGATGTAACTGGGACCCTGAGTACATAATTTCGTTCCACCACATGTACCACATGTGGTGGAACGACAATAAAGAAACTCTGACTCTCGGACTGACACGACAAGACAATGGACTCCGGTAAGACCAGGGGAGGGGGGGCTTTGTATGTGAACAACAACTGCTGTTCTGATGCAGTGACTGTAAATAGACACTGCTCCACAGACCTGGAGTTCGTGACCGCTAGATGCCGGCTCATCTACCTTCCCAGAGAATTCACTGTGGTCATGATAACTGCAGTTTACATCCCACCAGAGGCTAATGCTAGCTCTGCAGTCGGACATGTACATGATAGCATTAGCAACCAGTAGAGCAAATGTCCTGAGGCTGTACACATCATAGCAGGAGACTTTAATCATGCAGATTTAAAGGAAGTGCTCCCCAAATTTGATCAGCATGTAAAGCGCTCTACTAGGGGAGCAAATACACTGGACAATGCCTACTCAAACATCATTGTTTTGGGAACAGGCAGAACTTTACTGATTCATATCTGCCTTGAGTCTTTGCTGGTCCTCACAAATCCCAAACGTCGAAATTAAGTGGACACACCACTGATCCGTGCCTAAGAGTATTCCCTGAGATCTGATCCATCCTGCCAGCAAATCAATACGCACAGCAATTGAGACTGGGTGTTCGAGGCACAAAGCAAACCATCACATAAGGCAGGCAGCCTGACCAGGGTCAAATTTGCTGCCGACGACTTCCTTATTTGTTGATAAACCAGGAACCAGCCGATTCCAATAAGCGGGAAACCTGTTATCATAAATCCAATTATATATGCATCTTCAACATCCTCAATGGACAGTAGAGATAGACACATCAACTTCCAGTCGCCCCAGGAATCAATAACATATCCAGCTGCGTGCGTTTCATCAGGGCAAGTTGGCTCGCCTGAAGCTTGTCTTCTCGGCAAAATTTTTTTTTATCAATTGCGTTGAAAGACCAGCTGATCAGATGCATAGCAAAAATTACGGTTAGGGAAAATTTGTAGAAAGAGGCTCTGAAGCAGTTTCACAGAAAGGACAGAGCAACCCAACTCCTACATTCAATTCAATTCAATTCAATTCAGTTTATTTATATAGCGCCAAATCACAACAAAGTTGTCTCAGGGCACTTTATAGGAACATTCACATAAAAGCCAATTAGTAGTTCTCTATCTAAGGAATCCAGCAGACAAGATGAATCTTGGCTTCGATGCAGTCTCCGATCCTGAGCAAGCAAAGTGGCAACAGTGGAAAGGAAAAACTCCCTTTTAAAAGGAAGAAACCTCCAGCAGAACCAGGCTCAGGACAAGCGGCCATCTGCTTTGACCGGCTGGTTGAGAGGACAGGAAGGAGAGACAGACAAACACAGAATGGTAGGTCCAGGTATAGGTCCAGGTGTATCTGAAAGACAAAAAAACACATGTTAAGGATAAAAAAAAAATTACAAATACAAAACAGGTTGAGCAGAGTAAGTAAAGACAGAAGTAGAGTGAAGAGTGTGGTCAGTTTGTCCTCCAGCAGCCTAAGCCTATAGCAGCATAACTAAGGGACAGCTCAGGAAACCCAAGCCGACCCTAACTATAGGATTTAGCAAAAAGGAAGGTCTTAAGCCTAGTTTTAAAACTGGACAATGTGTCAGCCTCACGGACAGAGATTGGCAGTTGGTTCCACAAGAGAGGAGCCTGATAACTAAAAGATCTGCCTCCCATTCTGTTTTTGTAAATTCTAGGAACCACAAGTAAACCTGCAGCCTGAGAGTGAAGTGCTCTGTTAGGAAACTATGGAACAATAAGATCTGTAATATAAGATGGAGCTAGGTTGTTGAGAGTGTAGTATGCTAAAGGCTAGGTTAGCTTCGAGAGCTTCAGAGCTCCACTACAGTCATATTTTAATAACAGGTTCTCACTTTTTCGAGCTACTTGACAGATATGTGACAGAGGTACTGTGTTGTCGATGGTTTAATCAGTGACATGAGACGTTAATTTTCTTTGACCTATCAAAATAAATGTGGTCATTTATTAACAGAATCAAAATTTAACATCAAAACATTGTACACTTGATTATACTGATCGGCTCTGATTAATAAAACTTGGCACGTTTTACTTAATAAAAACAACAGACATTTCTGAAGATATCTGGATTAATTACTGGCAAGATAGAAGTTTAAAGATGGGAAATGAAGGAGTTTAAATGGAGAGAAAATGTGGAGGAAGACAGTGTGTTGACAAGGAATGGCACCCTTCATCTGACCCCAGCTCAGCCCCGGTACACTAAGTAGTGAAGCGACTCGTTACCTTTGCAGAAGATAGGTCAGCTCCGGTATGGAGTTCCATTTCAACGCTACCTTTCAGCGTTTCCTTAGGATGGCTGAGAATCGTCCGAAGTAGTGACGGTACTCCGTTCAACAACACGCTCACCTCCCGGGTAGGTAAACAGCGAGCTGTGAGTCCGTCAGAGGTTCCACTCAGATGTGGAAGGCTCCATAATCCCAACTCGACTCGGAAGACTGAGTCTGAGAAAAACTCAGAAGAACTCCTAGGAACTCCAGCCGAACTCCATCAGAACCAGAAGAACTAACGGAACCAACTGAACAACTCATGGAACTAGGAAGTGTCGACTTTTAAAGAGTTCTGCTTCTGGTCACTTTTAGGAAGTCCTGATTGGTTGAAGGAACCAACAGGGGTGTGGTTTTAGTGACGTCAGAGGGTCATTACAAGTCGAGAAAACATCAGAAATGTTTAGGAACGGTTAGTTACAGACGAGAAAATATTTTGGAGAAATGACAGACTTACAGGTGCCAGTTTTTTTGTTTCTGTCTGAGAGGTTTAAAAACACGACAGTTCGTCCCAATAACTTGTTTTTGACTGTCTCCGACTTTTGACCGACATCCCACCTTCTCCTTTCCGACAGAAGATCAAAAATGCATAATTACTTTGTAAAATAGACGTTTAACTTGATTTCTACTTTGAATGAGAATTAAAAAATCATTAATACTGTTTCACAGTTGATTTAAAATGAGTGGTTCACTTCAACATTTATGAACTAAACACACTTCTGATTATCAAGATATTGTAAAAATAGTAATGATAATATAAAAAAGAGAGTGTTCTTTCAGTTGATTAGTTCAGGAAACAATTAGAAAGTCTCTGGATGAGCTAATTTGTATTTCTGGATTCAAATCAATGAAATAACAGTTCCTGTCCAATGAAGGTCTTCAGAGGCAGGTTTTGATCGGAGGCCTAGTTCACTACAAGAGCTTTGTAGGTTAGAAGTAAGATTTTGAAACCTATTCTGGATTTGACAGGGAGCCAATGGAGAAAAACTAAAACTGGAGAGATATGATCTCTCCCAGTAACTCCAGTTAAGACTCTGGCAGCAGCATTTTGGATCAGATGAAGACGTTTTAAAGAAGTATTTGGACACCCAGATAATAAACCATTGCAATAGTCCAGTCTAGATGTGACAAATGCATGGACCAGTTTTTCTGCATCATTTTTAGATCAGATGTTTCTAATGTTAGTGATATTACGCAGGTGGAAGAAGGTGGTTCTAGTAATGTTTTTAATGTGGGGGATAAAAGACATGTCCTGATCAAAAATAACACCAAGATTTTTAACATTAGAGCTGGAGGACAGATTAATGTCATCTAAGGAGGGAGAAAGACTGAAACATTCATTCCTAAGGTGCTCAGGTCCAAAAACCAAAACCTCAGTTTTGTCTTGTGTCCAACAGGAGAAAATTAAGGGTCATCCAGGTTTTTATGTCTTTAAGACATGCTTGTAGTCTAAGTAGCTGATTGGATTCATTGGGTTTAATGGACAAATATAATTGTGTCATCAGCATAACAATGGAAATTTATCCCATGCTGTTTAATAACTTTACATAATGGAAGCATATATAAAGTAAAGAGTATTGGCCCAAGCACTGAGCCCTGAGGAACTCCATGACTAACTTTGGTGTATGAAGAAGATTTATTATTTACATTTACAAACTGGAATCTATCAGATAGATATGATTTAAACCACTTTAGAGCCGTTCCTGTAATCCCAATATCATATTCAAGCCTCTGTAGTAAAATATTGTGATCAAATGTATCAAATGCAGCACTGAGGTCTAACAGGACCAGTAGAGACACAAGTCCATTGTCTGAGGCCATGAGAATATCATTAGTTACTTTTACTAGTGCTGTTTCTGTGCTATGATGAGCTCTAAACCCTGACTGAAACTCTTCAAACAGATTATTTCTTTGTAGATGTGCATGCAACTGACCTGCAACCATTCTCTCTAGAATTTTTTAGATGAAAGATAGATTAGATATAGGTCTATAGTTGGCCAGAATTTATGAATCAAGATCAGACTTCTTAAGTAAAGGTTTAATTACAGCAACCTTAAAGCTCTGTGGTACATAACCATCCATTAAAGACAAATTAAGTAGATCCAAAATGTGGACATTAGTTAGGGGAAATACCTCTTTAAACAGTCTGGTTGGGATAGGATCTAGCAGGCATGTGGGTGGTTTGGATGAGGTTATTATTCTTGACAATTCAGAGCTCAACAGGACAAAAACTGTCCAAATATAAATCAGGCTCTAGTGAAATTTTTAAAGTTGCCTCATTTGACAGGGGACTAGAGATAGTAGAAGGAAGGATGGTTTGAATTTTCTCTCTAATTGAAATAATTTTATTTATAAAGAATCTCATGAAGTCATCACTACTTATAGTTGTAGGGATACATGGTTCAACAGAAATGGGACTTTTAATTAGTCTAGCAATAGTACTAAACTGAAACCTAGGGTTATTTTTATTCTCCTCTATTAAAGATGAGTAATATAAAGTTCTAGCTTTACGGAGAGCTTTTTTATATGTTATCAGACTGTCTTTCCAAGTTAAATTAAATTCTTCAACATTAGTAGAGCGCCATTTTCTCTCCTGGTTTCTAGATGCCTGCTTTAAAGTACGTAACTCAGAATTGAACCAAGGAGCCAGTTTCCTCTGATTGATTACTTTCTTTTTCAGTGGAGCAATTTTATCAAGTGAAGTTTGCATTGAAGTTGTAAGATGATCAACTAGATGATCTAAGTCTCTGTTCTCTGATGCATTACTCTGCAAGACAGAGGAAAACATTGATGGAAGAGATTGTTTAAATTTGGTTACAGCATTTTCTGATAAGCACCTGCTGAGATGAACTTTACTCTCAGTGACTGTGTAGTCATTTAATGTAAAATCAAAGGTTATTAAAAAATGGTCGAACAGAACAGGATTTTGAGGAACTATTACCAAGTCCTTAATCTCTATACCATAGGTCAGAACTAAATCAAGAGTGTGATGATAAGAATGAGTAGATGTGCGGACGTTTTGGGTAAAACCAAATTAGTCTATTAAATTATTAAAGGCTATGCTTAAGCTATCACTCTCAACATCCACATGAATATTGAAATCCCCCATTATGATGATTTTATCAGTATTTAATAATAAGTCAGTTAATAATTCTGATAATTCAGACAAAAACTGAGAGTCAGCGCCTGGTGGACGATATATAACAACTAGTAAAAGTGGCTTTTCTGATTTCCATTTTGGATGAGAAAGACTGAGGGACAGCGATTCAAAAGAATCATAACTAATAACTGGTTTGGCATTAATCAATAATCCTGACTGGAAAAATAGAACCTACTCCTCCACCTCGGCCAGTTGTTCTAGGAACATGAACATTTAAATAATTAACAGGAGTGGATTCATTTATACCAACAAAATCCTCCTGTTGTAGCCAAGTTTCTGTCAGACAGAATAAATCAATATGATGATCAGTTATCAGTTTATTAACTAACAGGGATTTAGAGGAAAGAGATCTGATGTTCAATAATCCACATTTAATGATTTTATGATTTTGCTCTGGTAAAGTAACTGTGTTTATTTGAATCAGATTTTTATGGTTTATATTTTTAGAGCTGATTTTTGGTATATTTAATTTGAGTCGTGGGCGAGTTGACACTGTTTCAATGGGGGTGTGGGTGGGTAACAGAGGAGAAGCAGCAGAGAGGTGGAGGACTACAACTCTGCTTCCTGGACTGGACCCTGGGTTGTCAATAATTTGGGGGATAAACAAAATCAGCCATATTTCTAGAAAGAAGAGCGGCTCCGTCCAAAGTGGGATGGATGCCATCTCTCCGCATCAGACCAGGTTTTCCCCTGAAAGAACTCCAGTTATCTATGTAGCCCACGTCGTTGTCAGAACACCACCTAGACACCCAGCGGTTAAACAACGACATACGGCTAAACATGTCATTGCTGGTCAGGTTGGGGAGGGGGCCGGAGAAAACTACAGAGTCCGACATGGTTTTAGCAAAGTCACACATTGAAGCAACATTAATTTTAGTGACCTCCGATTGGCGTAACCGGGTGTCATTACCGCCGACGTGAATAACAATCTTACTGTATTTAGCCTTAGCCTTAGTCAGCAGTTTCAGATAAGATTCTATGTCGCCCGCTCTGGCCCCCCGGAATGTATTTGACTATGGCCGCTGGAGTCCCTAAAGCCACGTTTCGGACTATGGAGCTTCCAATAACCAGGGTCTGCTTCTCAGCAGGTGTGTCACTGAGCGTGGAAAATCTATTAGAAACGTGAACGGGTCGGTGGTGAACTGGGAGCTTAGCCTTAGCACTACGCTTGCTCCAGACCGTCACCCAGCTGGCCTGGGGTCCCGGCTGCTCGGGGTCTGCTGGAGGACCGCTAACGGGAGCTAGCCTCTGTGGTTCCACGCTGTCTAAGGGGACCTGGCTAGCTCTTGGTTTTTCTACAGCACGGATCCGAGCTTCCAGTTCAGACAGCCTCTCCTCCAAAGCTACCATAAGACTACATTTGTTACATGTATCATTACCACTAAAGGAGGCAGAGGAGTAACTAAACATCTGACACACGGAGCAAGAGAAAACAGAGAAAGCAGGGAGAGAAGCAGCAGCCATGCTAAGCTAACGCTAGCAGGAGCTAGCAGAGCCAAATACACCAATAAAAACAGAGAAGTGTTGAAAGATAAGAGGTGTTTTAAGCACTATCCAACAGTAGAGAAACAACTGTACTAAGTGTGTTTGTGAACTAGAATGAAAAACTGTGCAAAAGATAAATCCAGAAAACAGAGACGACTCGAGCAAACAATTCACTCGAGCTACTGACAGACAAACAGGAAATGACACAATATGTCTCACCACGAACGTGCAACGTCACACCACAAGGAGGCATGTGTCCAGTTAACCACTGTTTTTGTCTGTCCAAACAGGTCTCACTTGTAAATGAGTCTTTGAAGCTCTATGTGATTTATCTGTTTAAATAAAGGTTGAATGAAAAAAAAGCAAAGCAGAGAAGGGAAAAGAGGGGGAATGTATCTGCCCTTGACAAGAGCAAGTGGTGAAGTGTGATGAAGGCATGGGGTGGTCAGGGGTTACGAGGTGGTCAGGTGTCAGAAGGTGGTAAGAGGTCATAGTGTGATCATGGGTCAAGAGGTGGTCAGGGATCAGGAGATGGTCAGGGGTCAAGATATGGTAAGAGGGCATAGAGTGGTCAGGGGTCAGGAGGTGGTCAGGGATCAGGAGATGGTCAGGTGTCAGAAGGTGGTAAGAGGTCATGGTGTGATCATGGGTCAAGTGATAGTCAGGGATCAGGAGATGGCCAGGGGCCAAAAGGTGGAAAGAGGGCATGGGGAGGTCAGGAGGTGGTCAGGGATCAGGAGATGGTTAGGTGTCAGAAGGTGGTCAGGTGTCAGAAGGTGGTAAGAGGTCATGGCGTGATCATGGATCAAGAGATAGTCAGGGATCAGGAGATGGCCAGGGGTCAAAAGGTGGAAAGAGGGCATGGGGTGGTCAGGGGTCAGGAGGCGGTCAAGGATCAAGAGATGGTCAGGTGTCAGAAGGTGGTAAGATGTCATGGCGTGATCATTGGGGTAGCGATACCCATAGGTCAAGCTGTACCTGCAGCAGGTCGCTCAGGTCCAGCAGCATATCTGATGCTTTGTTCAGGAATCCAGCACCACGTGTTCAGACAGACAAACCCAAACCTGATCAGACCCACACTCTGAGGGAAAGGGGTCTGAAAGGATAAGTTCTACTGTTCAGAATCAGAACCTTACTTGGAACATTGTTAACAGAGAATGAAAATGATCCAAACATTTGTGATTCATGAGTTCTGACAAGAACCCAATCTAATCTTTACAACTGTAGCTGGTCTTAATCAGAACCATATTACCTGGTGTTAATTTCGTTAGAAATTTCTTGTATCTAACGTTGGTGTTCTGCTGGGTTCTTGCTTTTCACCCTGGTGCTCTGTTGGGCTTTTTGTATTGTTCATTGTTTACATTGGTTTGTTTTATAATTTGTTTCTGTCACTGTAATTTAATGTCATGTTCTTTACATGTAAAAAAAAAGTAAAAGCTTTCTTTTAATTGCTTTCCTTTGGATGAGTTCATACTTTTTTTTTTTAAATGGTTTTATTTGTATAAATCCAAAAATAAAAAATAAAAACACTTAAACAACTGGGCCTCAGGTTCAAAGACTTGCGATAGATGAAGCTTTTGTCCTTGGGTACTCATGTCCCAGGAGAAATTGATTGTCGGCCTGTCTCCGAGGCCATCGGGAGTTAGATTTAGATAAGCTTGATTATTGTTTTTTCTTCAGCCTTGAGTCCATCTGGGCGTTCTGGTTCCGAAAATGCCTAATTGTGGGAATCCATTCCACTGATCCATGAGTCTCCTTCAAGGTCAAACCCACTACGCTGACGAGTCCCAGAAGCCGCAAGTGGCCTGCGATTCTCAATCGCCTCCACCTTACAGTTAAGCTCGTAAACCAGACGATTGAAAGTTCCCACAGCGTGGACCAGACCTTCACACTGACTCGGAAGCTTTACCATGGCCGAAACTGATGCTGCCGTCTGCTTCAAAAGTCGATAAAACAGAGCCCCACCGATGCCAAAAAGCAGAGTCCCTGCTATCATAATTCCAAATATATAAACGTCTTCAACATCCTCCTGAGACAGGACTGAGAGACACATCATCTGCCACACTCCTCACGAATCCATGACGTACCCCACAGCGTGAGTCTCAGCTGGACACGCCGGTTCTCCAGGACCTTGTCGCTTTGATGAAAAAATCTTATCAATAGACTGACTCCTCCTTTGACTCGCCTTCATGTAAATACTGACTCCTCCATCAACTTACCTCCATACTGAATTCTCCCTCAACTTGTCTCCATGTAAATACTGACTCCTCCCTCGACTCACCTCCATGTAAATCCTGACTCCTCCCTCGATTCACCTCCATGTAAATAAAGGACTGAACTAGGCAAAAGGGACTTCTCCTACTCCGCTCCTGTTTCCTGGAATACCTTACAAAAACAACTGAAGCTCTCGACCTTGACCTCTCTAAGTGGCTTTAAGAATCTGTTGGACTCCTGGCAGGGACCAATGCAGACATGTTCCTGTTTTTAGTTTTCTACATTTGCCTTAGAATCTAGCTGTTTTTTTTTGGTTACCTTTTTCTTTTAGCCATCCTACTTGTAAAAAAGAAAAAAAACCTGCAGTATGACTTTTTATAACTGTTTATTGTTGTCGCTGTTGTCCATTGTTGTCATCATTCTTTTTTGAAATCAGGTCTCTCTTGTAAATGAGTCCTCGAGGCTAAATGGGATTTACCTGTCTAAATAAAGGTTGAATGAATTGAATGAAAAAAAATCCTGACTCCTACCTTGAAATGCCTCCATGTAAATACTGACTCCTCCATCAACTTGCCTCCATACTGACTCCTCCCTCAACTTACCTCCATGTAAATATTGACTCATCCATCGACTCGCCTTCATGTAAATCCTGACTCCTACCAAAAAACACCTTCATGTAAATCCTGACTCCTACCTCGACTTGCCTCTATGTAAATATTGACTCCTCCCTCGACTCGCCTCCATGTAAATACAGACTCCTCCCTCGACACACCTGCATGTAAATCCTGACTCCTACCTCGACTCGCCTACATGAAAATACTGACTCCTACCTCGACTTGCCTCTATGTAAATATTGACTCCTCCCTCGACTAGCCTCCATGTAAATACAGACTCCTCCCTGGACTCGCCTGCATGTAAATACTGACTCCTACCTCGACTCGCATCCATGTAAATAATGATTCCTCCCTCGACTTGCCTCAACGTAAATACTGACTCCTCCCTCGACCCGCCTCCATGTAAATACTGACTCCTCCCTTGAATCGCCTCAATGTAATTACTGACTACTACTTCAACTCACCTCCTTGTAAATACTGACTCCTACCTCGACTTGCCTCCATGTAAATACTGACTCCTACCTCGACTCGCCTCCATGTAAATACTGACTCCTACCTCGACTTGCCTCTATGTAAACATTGACTCCTCCCTCGACTCGCCTCCATGTAAATACAGACTCCTGCCTCGAATCGCCTCCATGTAAATACTGACTCCTACCTCGACTCGCCTCCACGTAAATACTGACTCCTACCTCGACACGTCTCCATGTAAATACTGACTCCTCCCTCGAATCGCCTGAATGTAATTACTGACTACTATTTCAACTCACCTCCATGTAAATACTGACTCCTACCTCGACTCACCTCCATGTAAATACTGATTCCTCCCTCGAATCGCCTCCATGTAAATACTGACTCCTACCTCGACTCACCTCCATGTAAATACTGACTCCTACCTCGACCCGTCTCCATGTAAATACTGACTCCTCCCTCGAATCGCCTGAATGTAATTACTGACTACTATTTCAACTCGCCTTCATGTAAATACTGACTCCTACCTCAACTCACCTCCATGTAAATACTGATTCCTCCCTTGAATCGCCTCCATATAAAAACTGACTCCTACCTCGACTCACCTCCATATAAATACTGACTCCTACTTCGACCCGTCTCCATGTAAATACTGACTCCTCCCTTGAATTGCCTCAATGTAATTACTGACTACTACTTCAACTCACCTCCATGTAAATACTGACTCCTACTTCGACTTGCCTCCATGTAAATACTGACTCCTACCTCGACTCGCCTATATGTAAATACTGACTCCTAACTAGACTTGCCTCTATGTAAATATTGACTCCTCCCTCGACTCGCCTGCATGTAAATACAGACTCCTCCCTCGAATCGCCTCCATGTAAATACTGACTCCTACCTCGACTTGCCTCCACGTAAATACTGACTCCTCCCTCGACTCGCCTCCATGTAAATACTGACTCCTCCCTCGAATCGCCTCAATGTAATTACTGACTACTACTTCAACTCACCTCCTTGTAATAACTGACTCCTACCTCGACTTGCCTCCATGTAAATACTGACTCCTACCTCGACTCGCCTCCATGTAAATACTGACTCATACCTCGACTTGCCTCTATGTAAATATTGACTCCT